CTGGGGATGGCTCTAGTTCTGGTTCCAGCTCTAGGCATATGGAGCTCCCACAGGGGCCATTCCCGCCTCCCAGCTTCTCCAGAGCCTCTGACCCATAGGGATATTGGGGGGATAGAGGAGTATCTCCCCCCTCCCCAAGTGGAGGTTGGTTCTGGACAAGTGGGGACCTTGACCCTGTCTAGGCACTCACCGTCCTGAGAGGCCCCAGGTAGCCCACCTACCATTGCCAGACCAACACCTTATTCTCGCTCACATATACACGCACACAGGCGCGCAGAGTGTACCCTAGCGTTCATGGCCTGCCACCCCCACTCTCCCACCCAGCAACTCAGAGGACTCAAGAAGGAGCCCTACCCCAGAGACATGTGCCCTACCCTGCACTGGTGGCAGGCGCCAAGAGTACCTCCAGCACTCAGCCAGCAGCTAGAGGTGACATCCCTCAGCACCCTCCCGGTCTGTTCTGTGCCCCCCATTCCCTCTCCAAGAACAGTCCAAATCCCACAGTCCCACAACAGATGGGGAAACCGAGGAAGGGATGGGAGGGCAGAGTTACTCCTCCTGAGACCCTGGCGTGGAATCACAGAGAAAGAAAGGGACGCTGACCTACCACGAGCAAAGTCCATATTGGCTGCTCCCTCCGCACAGCCCGACCGCTGGGCCAGGGCCAGAGGCTGGCTCCCTCCCTCTAGAGCTCTCCTTGCCCCCGGCTGGGCCCCCTCCCTCTCTGAGCTTCTGAGCAGTCCTCCCTGCCCTCTCCCTCCCAGCCCTGGCTCTCCCATCCTCAGCTCTTGGAAGCCTGACTCACTGTTTCCCCTCCTCTCCCCCCTCCCTCCCTCTCTCTCCCGCCAGCGGCGCCTCCCCCTCCCCTGGGTGGGTGGGGGGGGGGCTCTGGCCACAAGGGTGCCTGCCTGCTCCTCTCTCCCGGGCTCCGGCCCCCCTCTGCACCCAGGAGGCCCCCTGCAGCTGTCCTTATTCTCTAACTAAGACTGCTAGAGTGCGAGGAGCCTGGGTCCCAGGCCTGGCATGGCCAAGTGTCTGTGACCCTGGGCAAATGGCTCCCTTCTCTAGACTTGGTTTACTCCTGTCAAACGATGTGTGACTGGGTCCAACTGGATGATGCCCCTGGCATCTCTTGGACCCTAATGTTCCCCGCCTTTAAAGTCCCAGGTGCCCCTTGGCATGGAGCACAAGCAACCTGTGGGGCACTGTTCCTGCCTCAGGCCCCAGCCCCAGGTCCACAGGAGACTCTGCTCTGTTTCCGGACATCTGGAGAAGGCAGAGGGAGACGCTGCCCTGGGGCAGGACCGTTAGTCAAGTGACCCAGGGCATCCCCCCCGTCTCCCCATTCTCCTCCTCCCGTGGGAGTCTTTCCCTCTCTCTTCCACCTGTCTCCTCCCTCTTGCCAGAGACATTTGCTCGCCTCTCCTCCAAAAACAGTGCCTGCTTGTTCCTGGCTGTGGGGCAGGGAATGGCACATGCCTAGGCCTTCTTGGTCCCCTGGGCCCCACCTCCAGGGGCTGTGATCCTGGCTCTTCCCCTTGACTGTTTGCTTTCTCATTCCCTCATCCCTGGCTTCTGCCACCATCTTTCCCTCTCTCCACCTGGCACATGGCTGTCTGGGTCTCTCTCCCCTCCCCTCGCCTCCGTCCCCTAGCTCTCTCCCTGCGGGGGCCCATCTGCTGGCATTAGCAACAATGTTATCCTCGCTCCTTCCTGCATTCCCCATCCTGGCTTCCCCTCTCTTCCGAGCTGTCCCAAGAGACCCAGGGGACCCAGAGACAGAGCTGGGCTCCATCCCATAATAGTGAGTCTGCTTGACCTCACTCGGCCCGACCAGAAGTGTCTGGGCATCTGGTATGAAGGCATGGCACGGCACCCCCTGGTCTTGGGTGACTGGCATGAGACACAGAGCTCTGTATTCTACAAACAAACAAACAAAGTTGGCCTCGGGGTGGGACACTGGGGGTTTGAAGGGAAATGAGAGAGATCAGGTTAGCCTGGAGAAAGCCCCTAGCCAATGGGAAACAGAAGCAAGTGGAGGGAGTGGCTCAAAGTCAATGCTCCAGACTGATCTGAGAACCAGCAATATCCCCTCTAGGGCTCTGCCTGTCCAGAGCAGCTGCCCCCCCCCCTCCGCCCCCAGTTCCCAGCCAGGGACACTTGGCCCCTCAAGCCTGGAGCACAGCCACAACCTCAGGTGGAGATTCCATCCCTTAATCTCCAGTAGGGTCCAAGTCCAACCTCCCAACAGTATACCTCCACTTAGCTCAACAGGGGATCCAGCAGCTTCCCTGCCAAGATCTAAGCAGGTGGAATGGGGTTAACAGAGCCCCCCAACTCCCAAGCCCCCTCACCAAAGTCCCAGTCAAGGTCTGGGAAGCAATGTGAAATAACCCTGGAATGCGCATACCCCCAAACTGAGAAGCTACACTGTCCATCCACAGCATCTGGGGGTGCTGGGGCTCCCTGCTCCCCGACCCTGTTCCAGACCCCCCAGCCCAGCAACCGTAATAAACAGCAAGCTCTTTTTCTTTATGACAGCAAATTTCTCCAAGCCCAACAGCTCCTTCCATCACTACCTCAGCTATAGATCACATTAAAAACTCACAGAGGGCAACTTAAACACATCACATTTGTTTCTCTCTATATTATTTCAAAAGTAACGGCATTAAAAATGGATTTTACTACAGAAAATAAATATCAGCACGTGGGCCGGGAGCCCAGGCAGGAGGAGGGAGCCCACCAGGAGAACGTCCCCGAGGGCTTGGGCACAGCTTAGGTACTGACCAAGGAGGTGGCTTGAGGCCAGACAACACCCTGGGGCCTAGGGGGGATGTGTGGGGAGGGGATAATACCTGCCCACCCAGGCACCTGCCCCAGTGCCAGACCAAGAGGGACAAGAGTCACTGGTTTGGACTGGTGCCCACTGGTCCCCCTAAGCTCACACCCTCACTGTTCTGTGCAACCCCTGAAGGGTGGGAGCTCTGGGGCAAGAAGTTCACCAGTCTCTGGGGGTTATTCCAACTATTGACACAGCAGGAGAAAAAAAATGAATTCAACTTACTATCCAGTTTGATTTTCCATTGCTATAAAAATAAATATACATCTGCTCCAAGGAGGGAGATGGCAAGCGGCATGCACATGCCACCTGGGGGGTCCCCCCACAGCTCACCACCACAATCCAGCCTGCCCCCCCTCCAAGCCAGGGGTGCGGGGGATGGACAGACTGGTAATCTTTCACTTAAAAGCCCCAGCTCTCACACACTCTCACACACACACACACACGCACACACACACACACACACACACACACACACACACACACACACACACACACACACACACACACCGGGCCACAGGGAACAGGAACAAGCCAACAATAGAAACACCCCAAATACTCCTGGCAGGACTCTGCCCAGGCCCGGGCACATGCCCCCGCCCCGCCAGCAGCAGCAGCGGACAAAATGTGGCCACCCTGACCCGGAGGCAAAGCTTGTCCTCACACCCTGAGCTCTGCCCAGGGAGCTGGGGCCAAGTCCCGCCTGACACCAACTGGTCCGGCGGGAAACGCCTGCCCAGCCAGACAGGCACAGGCCCCCCAAGGGTCCCTCCTTGTGCTCAGGGACCAGGCTGGTGCAGCCTGGCCCTGCCTCCCAGGGTGACGCCTGGGCCCAAATTCAGCTGGCCCTGCCAGTCAGGCGCTGGTGCAGAACCGAGGGCACCAGGCTCAGCCCCTCCCAGCCCAGCCCCAGGGCCCCCAAGCTAGGAGGGAGGGGGGACTCCCCACCCCTCCACATCTGGCCCTGGCCCCCAGGGTCTGCGGTAGAGAATTCCCGCCCCCGCTTCTCTCTCTCTCTCTCTCCCTCCTCCCGCTCTGTGCCCGCTGCCCGCCTCAGGGACAGCCCCAGCTCCCGCCTCCGGCCAGCAAGGCCCACATCCTTCCTCCCTCAGCTGGCCCCTTCGCCTGGCAGGAGGCTGGGGGGGTCAGGCTGCGAGGGAACCCCTCCAGCTCCCATTAGTCCTCATCCCCAGCCCCCAAACTCTGGGTCGCTGTCCCTTTTCCTGTCGAACAGGAAACAAGGTTATTTCCTAGACTCAGAGCCAGCCCCCTGCCCCTCTGGCTCTGCCCGGGGACCAGGACCCAGCAGGAGAAGGCGCCCTTAGCCAAAAGGCACAGGGATTCAGCAATTCACCCCCAGCTCCCGGCCCAGGGGGCTGACAGCTGTCACTCAGCACCCCACCCCCTGGGGAAGAGGGGGCCCGATTCAATCAGAGCCCCAGAGGAAACGCATTGATAGGCGATTATTTATTTATTTATGCAAAAGTGAGCCGACTTTGTTCGCCAGGTAACCGGGCACGCGGCCCAACCCCTCCGGCCCTGGCCACCCCCAAATCCCTCCTCCGCCCCACACCCCCTCCGGGTCATTAGGTCCCCGCCCCTCAACTCCCAGAGCACCAGCGGAACCTTGGGATTTGGGGGTTGGAGGGGAGGGGCTCCTCCCTCCGCAGTCTCCCCCTTTCCCAGCGCCGTTCCTAAAATCCAGCCTTGTTCTCCGCTCCCACGGTCCCCCCTTCATTCTCCCCCCCCCACATTCTCAGCAAGCTGGAGAGCAAATTGCAGTTTTAAATCCAAAGACCGAGGGAGGAGGAAGGAGGAGGGGGCGCGCGGCAGCGCTGGGCGCGCACCTCGCCCCCGAGCCGGGGGAGCTGCGGGGCGGCCAGGAAACCCGAGAACCCCCCCTCCCCGCCCCCCCTTCTCGTCCACCTCCCCCTCCCCCTCCCCGGCGCTGCCTGCCAGGCTTCGAGCCGAGCCCAGCCGAGCCGCGGGCCCCGGTGGAAACAAAGACCGATCGCACCGCGGGCACCGCAGCCACCGGGTCCCGCGGACCGGACCGGGGCGCGCGGAGGGGGCGCGGGCCCCCCCCCCGGGGCGCTGCACAAAAGAGCCCGGCCGGCCGGTCCCCAGCGGGGTCTAGGGCTCGGGAGGAGGCGCCACTCACCGGAGTGCTGGGCTGCCGGCTCCGTGGGTCCGAGCCAGGCGAGGGGCTTTGGGGGGCGTCAGTCTTCCGGCGGCGGCAGCGACGCGGGCGCCGGGCTGCTGGGGAGAGGAGTCGTGGAGGAGCCCTGAGCCGCCCGCCGTTGCTGACAGCATGGCTCGCGTCTCGGCTCACATTCTCCGCCGCTAACTCCGCTGGACACGGCCCCCCGCTCCCGCGGCGCCCCCCCCACCTCGATCACTCCTTCGGTCTCTGCGCCCCCCTCGCTCCCCCCGCCGCGCACACACTCTCACAGCCCTGGACACCCCCGCCCCCACCCCCCCATTGCAAACCTGGGAGGGAACGCGCCCCGCGTAGTCCTCCTCCTGCTCCTCCTCCTCCGCCCTCCTCCCTCCCGCTCTCCGGCTGTCTGTCTGTCTCTCTGACTGTCTCTATCTCTCGCTCTCTCTGCCTTTCTCTGCTTTCCGAGCTGGGTGGGAAAAGGAAATGAGGACAGAAAGCAGACGCTGGCTTTGGGTGGTGGTAGCTGGATTCCCTCTCTCCCTCCCTCCTCCTCCTCCCCTCCCTCCTCCTGCCTTCTGCTCTCTCCGCTGCGAGCGGGGCTGAGCGCAGCCTGGCGGGTGGCTCGCTCTGCCCGCCCGCCCGCCCGCCCGCCTGTCTGTCTGTCTGGTCTGCCTCGCTCGCTCCCTCCCTCCGTCTCTCGCCCTCGCCCTGCCTGCCTGCCTCTCTCCGTCTCCGCCGCCGCCGCCGCTGCCTCTGCGAGCTCGCCTTACCTTCGCCGCTCACCATCCGGAACCCCAGGGGGGAGCGCGCGCGCGGCACGCCGGGACTTGTAGTCCCCACCCCGGCCGCTCGGCGTGCGGGGAGGGCGGGGCCGAGCCGGCTGCCCCGACGGCGCGGCCGGGAGCCCGCGGGGACTGCGCGCGGGTCCCTCGTGGGGGAAGGGGGCGCGTCCGTCCTCCGTTCACCAAGGGTGCCGGTTCTCCCGAAGGACTAGGGATGTTTCTCTCGTTCCTTGTTCCCTGCGGGGGGCTCTGGCTTGGGCGGAGGTTGCGGGTGGGAGCGAAGGGGCGGGGTCTGAGAATGGAATGAGTCGAATAGGGAATCAAGGGATTAGCCAAAGGGCCTGCGACTTTCTGGGGCGCCCCAATTAAAGGATAGATGGAGAGTGGGGAAGACCGGCGTTCTGAGTCTGGGGACGTTCTCCCTTTCTGAAAAGGTTTCTTATCGACTAAAGGACGACGTTTTTGACGCGAGGGTTGCTCCAGAAACCTCAAAGCCCCACCACCGCTTCCTCCTGATTCAGGGACCCCCGTCCCAAGCTCTGACCACTGGGTTTAGCCCCTGCAACTCCTAGTTTTCCTAGAAGTCCAAGGGTGGCCAGGGCACAGAAGTCCTGGATAATCCACAAATAGCACCCCTCCCCCTTCCTGAATTCGACTGAGCATTTTGGTTGTGTCAGGAAGCAAGATTCAACAGTTCAGAGTTCCTGCTGCGGCCAAGGGGCTGGGCTCAGCACTTTCACCTACCTCCTCTTCAGGTCACATCTGTTATCCAGCCCCTAGCTCCAGGCCCCCTGCCTGGCCTATCCCCACAGATGGGAATGTGCCCTGCCTGGGCCTGGTTACCAAGGGGGAAGTAGCTGGACAGCCCAGGAAAGGCTACTGGACACAGCAGGGCCCCTCGCTCCACAAAGACCCGGTGAAATGGTGCTATTGTCATTTCCATCTTAGAGATGAGGGCAGTGAGGTCCAGGTCCCCTCATTTGGAAGTGGTAGAGCCCTGCTGGACCAGGGATGATCTGATCCGAATGCCCACTGCCTAACCTCTGGGCCATGGCAGGAGGTTGTGACTCCCAGGTCTCTGTCTGACCTTCACTCCCAGCATCTGTGTGTCCTCCTTTGGTACTTTAATTCAACAGATGTTAACTGAAACATGTAGAGCTCACAGGGGACACTGAGAAGAATAATGCAGGATCATGGTCCAGTCCTCAGTAGCTACCAACATCAGCCCTGACTGGTACTCTGCTAGTCTCCCATTTCATCTGTGTATCTGACATTCCTTGGCCATGTTTCTGCTGACTTTGTCTTGCCCCACATCTGAAGCTCCTTCGCAAGTGCCTTTGTTCTTGGGCCACCTGTTTCTGACTCCTCCTTTGGCCCTGCAGGGTGATGGCCAGAGTGTGACAAAGGCAGGTGGTGACATTTCTCCAACTACAACTCCCCGTCACCACCTTCCCTACACCTCTCCCCCTCCCAAGCACCTCCTTTAGGGCAGTCTGAAACCCCCAAAGGGCAAAAGAAGAGGGTTCTGGGGGGCACCCTCTAGGCCCTTTGATGGGGGCAGGGCTAGGAGGGCAGCAGCAATGAGAGAGAATGAGGGTTCTAAACAGTCTAAACAGTACACCTATTTATCTGGCATCAAGGGGCTGGCATGGCCAGCTGGAGAGGCCCCCATTTGGGAGCAGCTTCTCTTTGCAGGCAGACCGTGGGTTCAAAGATTTATTCATTGAATGGGAAGTATTCTAAGGTCAGATATTAATGAAAGCAGCGGTTTAAGTTGTTAGGGGCCCTTTTGGGTCCAAAGCCTGAGTCTAAAGGTATTGCAAATACATGAGGCTTTGGCATCTTGCTCTAGCTGGTACCCCATGGGAGAGACTTTAGCATTGGGAGGGTGGAAGAGGGTCAGGTTCCCCTTTCTTTTACCTAGTCTGAATCAAGTTTTGGGAGAAAGTTGGGTGCTTTAGGGGAGATGGGAAGCCCCAGGTAGATTGAGATGAAGAGTAATTTGGGAAAGGCATGAGAGGGGAGAGGTTTAGTGATGAGGTGCAGAGGGCAAGATCAGCCAGTTGGGCCATGGCTCCTTGAGTGAGAGAGTAATAGACATTAGGTTGTTGTTTTCCAAGCATGCACCTCCCCTCCAGGCTGTTTCAGCTGCCCCCTTCCCAGAGAGGGTGGGTACTGTTAGCCCCTAAGGTATTGAGCATCACTGGAAACCAAACATTACCGAGTTTTGCAGGTCTTTCTCTTGGAGCTTCTCTAAATTATTTTGGGGGGGGGGTCTTCCTAGACAAACTCAAGCTGATTCTTCCCATGGGCTGCTGCCGCCACCTAGTGTCGACTCTCCATGTCTGCTCCAGTAGCCGCAGTCTAAAAGGGGGCTACCCAGTCCTCAGAAACAGTGTCAGGGTCACCACAGGCTGGGCAGGGTAGCTGTACGCTCCCCCAGAAGGCAGGCCTGAAGGAGAGGACCCAGGTTCTGGAAGAGCCTGCATCATCCTTTCTGGGTTCAGCTCCCTCTAGCCACTTTTGTTTCAATGCAGCAGACGAGGGTATACCTAGACCCTAGGAAGTAGAGGTGAGAGTCTAGGATAAAATTGTGGGACTATAGGGTTTGGAGGCCCTGTGGAATAGGAGCCAGACAGGCCCAGTTCTGATTGTGCATCGACTCTCATGTCCTTCACCTCACCAAGTCTCAGCTCCCACATGTGTAAAATAGAGGAGTAATTCCTTCCTTGTCTTACCGGCAGGACCGTGGAGATTTACTGAGCACAAGGGTATGAAAGCACTTTGAAAACTGGCAAGGGCCAGTTGAGGGATTGAGTCGTGATAATAATAATGACAATAACTGGGGCGCCTGGGTGGCTCAGTCATTAAGTGTCTGCCTTCGGCTCAGGTCATGGTCCCAGGGTCCTGGGATCAAGCCCCGCTGCTCTGCAGGAAGCCTGCTTCTCCCTCTCCCACTCCCCCTGCTTGTGTTCCTGCTCTTGCTAACTCTCTCTCTGTCAAATAAATAAATAAAATCTTAAAAAAAATAATGACAATAACTGAGAGGTCAGAGCAGCCTGGAGCCAGGCCCTTGAGCTCACGGAAAGGGCAGAGTGAAATGAGCCTTGGGTGGGCATGGGCACTGCCTTCCCCGAATACAAAAGTTCTAGGGTTAGCCCCACTCTTGGAGCTCACCTCAAGGGAGGTGTGGTTTGCTTGAGAGTGGTTCAGCCCAGCCCGCAGAAGGAGAAACTGGGGCTGAGAGAGGTTGAGGGACCCTTCTAAGCCCCTGAGCTACAGATCCAGGATCAAGAGACCCATTGGACTGGAGCCATTATGGCCTTGGTCTTCCCCTCCTCAGGATGGGAACAGCTCAGAGCTGGGGCCCACGAGACCGTGGAAGCAGGAAGCCCCTCCTCATTGTGGTACAGTGGGATCTAAGGCCCCCAGGCCCCCATTATCCCTCCTCCTGGGCTAGCCCCTCCTCCTCGCAAGTCCTCCCACATTCCTCCAGGCAACAGGAAACCCCAGCTGCAGCCCAGACTTCAAACAGCTCCTCCCTCTGGGCAGGGGGTGTGGGAGGAGAGGCCAGAGGCCAGGGGGCAAAGGTCAGCTTTGTTCCTGCTGGAGGTGGTGAAGGACGGGGCGGGGGGGGGGGGGGGGGGGGGGGGGGGGGAGAGGGGGACACAGAAGGGGGCAGGGTAGGGCCCTTGACAGCCACACTGTGTATGTGTGAGTGAGTGCGCGCGCGCGCATGTGCATGTGTGTGTGTGTGTGTGTGTGTGTGTGTGTGAGAGAGAGAGAGAGAGAATTCCTAGGTCTGTCAGGGTATGGTATGTGTGGTTCTCACTGTCAGCCTGTGTCTGGAGATAATTGTATGTCCTTGGTTTCCCTTGGGCTCCTGGACCCGAGTTATGCATCTGCATGTGTATCAGTATGGATTTGTTGGTCTGTGGGTGCTCAGCCTGGGATCCCACTGACGTGTCTGTAGGTGATATCACATGTGTTGATATGTATGGTTCACAGACCTGCCCAAAGCCATGTACCCTCCTATTAGTGTGACCGGGTGTGGTTCTTTGCATCAAGAGGGGTATCCCCGCCCTGCCCCTTACCCTTCCATCCTAGCTCTGCCTTGGTCACCAGAGGGTTCATTCTGAAAAGTGAATCTGACTTTGTTACTCCCCTGCTCAAAATCCTGTGGCTTCCCATTGTCCAGGGCTTAGAATCCTAGCCCAAATGCTTGGCAGACATGACCCATGCCTATCTGGTTATCTTCATCTTTAGCCACAAACGCCCCTCAAATTTTACACTCCAGTCACGCCTACCTCATTATAACTCCCTGCACGTCCCTGCCTCTGAGCTCGCTTAATTCTGTCAAGTCTAGAATGTCCTCTTTCTTCTCTACCAAGCAAACTTTTACTCCCTTTGCAAGTCTCTGGTGAAGCAACACCTCCACTGAGAAGCCTTCCAGACTTCCCCCTGTCCAACGGAGTTAGGACCCAACCCTGTTCTCCCACACACCATTTATCGTCATTTTCAGCCTGTGCCTGTCCTATTCACCTCACTACCATTAAACTGTGAGCTCTCTGAGAGCAGGAACTGTGCCTTATCTCCCATTCTGTGGTGGGAAGTTCCTAAAGGAACCCAGTCTTCCCCTCCCAGGGGAAAGTTTCCTAGAATTCTGGGTGTAGTACCCAGAATGGACACTAGGTGGAGTATGGACCTCACTCACTGCAGGACCGTCCAGGAGCTGGTGTGCG